TCTGTCTGCAGAACACGGACTATAGGTGAAAGGTTCAGGCATTATGCTGGCCTGCCCCTGTTACCTGGTGGAATCCACTCAGGCAATACCCTGGTCAGCCCAAGGTTCCATGGGAAAGAAGTCTGCACGCAGGTGCAGAGGACCCCTTTAAAAGATAAGCCCCTGCCCCTTTACGCTCTCTCTGTCTGTCTCTCTCTCTCTCCCCCTGTTTCTCTGTTTCCCGCTCTCTCTCTCTCTATGGCGACCGGCCATGGCGGTCAGCCATTTACCCCTGTTCCTCTTCTTAGTCTCCCCATTCTGTCGGGCCTTATAATAAACCTATAGTCTTATGTCTGTCTCAATATTTCTCTTTTCTTCTTTTTAAACAAAAGAATAACAATAGGTACCAACCCTGGACTTTGAGCAAAAGTGTTCTGATAGCCCAGTAAGAAGAGAAGAACTAAAGTGAGCACTTGTATGGAGACAGGTAAGTGATGATGTGAGTGCTTGCAGGAGCTCCCCTGGTGAAGAGGAGGCAGATTAGCAATGCATTGCATTGAGTGCCTTTGTTTTAACTAATTTATCTAATGGTTTTTGGAGCCTCTCTAGACAGTCAAGTTTCAAGAGATGATAGGAATTTGCCCATGCTTTAGTGTATTACGCCTGATTTTTTTTTTGAATTGTTAAATACTGTATACACAAAATTTCAGTTGGCTGTACTTTCTAACCTCTCAGGATTTTGCAAGTCATGACATCATCTTTTCCAGGCTCTCCCGTAGTGTGATAGTATCCTACGTCTTCTCTCAATTGTGCCATATAAATATATGTATAGTTTATGTATGTTTAGGTGTTGTTCTTTTCATTGCACTGTACCACTGAGCTGCAGCCCCACAGTTCCTGGAGTTGCTCTGGTCCCAACAAGCCAGCCTCAATAGGAAATTAAAGAGACAATAGTGAAATGCAGAGAAAGGAGATTCGCTTTGTGAAAAGGAACAAATAAGAGGTTTAGTGACCTCCTCCTCTGAAGTCCTGGCATGAGGTTTAAATTTAAATTGAGGGCAAAGAAATGTGCAGTCCTAGTCAAGAGGTGGCCCTCGAATCATTGACACAGCATTCATTGTCTTGGCTCCTGCCTCCAGGTCTGTCCTGCAAGTATTCAGCACTGTGTGACAAATCTTCCCTGCTGGCTAGCAGCGCCAGCCCTTTTCTTCTCAGCATGAGACTCCTGGGGGAATTCCAATTCCTTGGGGTCCATTGTTCCAATAGTCTGATAGCCAAAGGGGAAGGGCAGTCTCACATTAGAATGTCTTCTTTCCTCCCAGCATAGCTACACAACCCTAACTCTACCAGTTATTTTTAAAAAGCTTTCCATCACCAAGTGGGAAAAAACTTGCCTATCAACAAAATCATGGTTTGCTGTCTTCCATCTTTCCCACCTCATTACCTATCATCAGTGGACATGACGGGCACCTTGGCTTTGCCACTCACAAACAATATGCGTCTGGGCAAATTAGTCTCCTCTCACCTGAAGCATGGGGACAGTAACAGAACCTACTGCCATAGGACCGTTGTGAGTGCTAGCGAACTACAATTGATAAAAGTACTCGGCCTGAAGCTGTGTTCCAATGCCCCAGGAAGCTAGCCCCAAATATGCCATGAGCTGTGCTTCCTCCTCCAAGACAATGTCAACCTCACCAGCTGAGTGCCTCCTGCAACAAACTGCTTCAGTTTCCCTGGCAAATGGTTCATTTCAACCTTTGTGTCACTGGACCTGTCAGTCTCCCAACCTCAGCTCAGGAGAGAGAGAGAGAGAGAGAGAGAGAGAGAGAGAGAGAGAGAGAGAGACACCTCCTTGAAGGTAAGAAGGTAAGTCACTGCTGCTTTTATAGCCCTGGGACCTACCACACTGCCAAGTGCCTGATAGGCATTCAATAAATCCATTATAGGAAGGTGCTTGACTTCCTTACAGATTATAAACTTTTCAATGCCAAGAGGTCCCCATAGGCTACGTCTCTGCAGCATCTAGCAGAGTCATATCCAATCTGTCAGTCAAGCACTGTTATGCAGTTTGCAAAATACAGTGCTAACTCTGATCAAAGAATTTACAACCTTTTTCTCCATTCTATTCTATTTGCCCTGAGGAAACTTGTACCCTTCAAACTACCACAATAGTCCTTTGTGTTTTTTGTTGCTGGGCTCAGCTTTAGGCCACATCAATGGACTTTGTGTTTCACTAGACTGTGAGCTCCCTGAGGCCAAAGTGTCTCTTTAGCTAAAGCTAATGACCATAGTAAATACTCACTAAATAGTTCTTGGTAGTTACATAAATACAACTTTTTTCCAAGTTCTTATGATTACATAAGAATTGTTTAAAAGAAAAAAAAATAAGATTCAGGTCCTAGTTTGAGGGCCCCTGGCTTGGGGTCGTCAATGTCCTTGAGCTTTGTTCATTTGAATAAAATAGACCTTTCACTGGCAAAGAATAAAATTTAGCACCTAAGATTGAAGGTAAAGGAGAAAATTATTTCATTCATTACAATAAGATCATAAAGCTCTTTTAGTTAGAAGCTCTTTCCTGCAAATAAGCCCTTTTATTTTAGCTTGGGAAATAGTTTAGTATAGAAGATTAGTTACTTTCACGGACTCTTAATTATAAAGCTATAACTTATGGAAGACCCTGGTTAATCAATGACAATACTGACTCTGTGGGGAAATCACCTGTGGAAAAAATAGGTGTTTTCCACTTTTCAACAACAATATGACCCAGGAAGATGTGTGAAGTTTTTGTTCATGCATGTAAGGAGGCCAGGTGCCTTGTTTTGTTCCTTTTTTTTTTTTTTTTTTTTTTTTTTTAAAAAAAACCCGGGGTGGTTTTGTATTATGTAGCCCAATGACCTTAAATTCAAAGCAGTCCTCCTGCCCTAACCTGCTTTAGTAATTTTGAAAGCAATTACCTAAATATTAGCATAAGTTAGAGGCATATTTTATACATATAATTGGTTAACTTATAGTTTCTTATGAATTTTACTAATGTGGTGTGTGTGCATGTTAGCTAGGTGTACACACACCACAACACTCATGTGGTCAGAGGACAACTTTTAGAAGTCAGTTCTCTTCTTCTCCTTTGGGTTGCAGAGATCAAATTTGGGATGGCAGGCTTGATGGCTTACAATTAGATTTTTAAAGTCATGTTTAAATTATGCTGTGAAAGAACAACAAAGCAAAAATCAAAAGAATCCCTAACTGCAATTATTGTTGAGATTTTCAACAAATGGGATAATCTTAAGATTGTATTCAACCACTTCATATTGCCTAGCACTGTGATTTAAGTTACTCAAACTCCTTTCTAAATAATATGTGTGATAAGTAACAGATCTCTCTGAGGCCCTAAATATTTTCCTGTTGCTATCATCTGAGCAAATACCATGTACCTGCTAGTAATTATTTTCCCCAGTGCCAGAAACTGTCAATGCTGGATCTCATAATGTTCTATCACTCAGCCACAGCCCAGGGTTTATATTCATTATTTCTAGTCATTCATTTATTTAACCAATATTAGCTCAGCACCTACTGTATGGATACATCTATGGACCAGACATTAGTTCCTCCTTCCCGAGATTACAAAGCTATAGAAGGCAACTCTGTAGGGTGGGTAATGTGGTCTTTATTTTGCAGATGAAGAACTCCAGGCTGGAGGCCTAAGGGAGACACAGCTGTCATCAGTGCTCTTTCCAGCAAACAGCTGCTTTTCTCCACTCATCCTACTTGGTTTCACTTACTCATCTTATTTCACGAAATACAACAGTTGTGAAAACAGATTGAAAGAGCCTCTGGTGGGAAGGCTAAAGGTCTTGCTTAAAAGTCATTGCTCTCCAATCTTCTGCTAATATAAAAAGCAAACGTTACTATTCCAGCTGTTTGGGATCACACATTGGCTTAAAGCAAAAGAAGAAACAAGGCCTAGAAACCCACATTTCTAAGAGTAGAAAAGCAGAAGGCTGATAAACCAAGGAGATATGCAGAAGCTTAAGGCTTTTGTTGTTTCTTCTGCTCTGAGTGTCACAAGGGTGGCAAACAGTAGGGGTCCCAAGGAGCTCCTGTGAGGAGAGAGGCTTTGCCAGGTCCTGTCTTCAGCGTGCGCCTTTGCTTTCTTTGGCTCTGCTTACATGGGGCTGCTACAGTTAATTATCAGGTGCAGATCTGAGCAGACAAGGAAAGGCCTCTACCGCAGCCTTTTTGCTTCCTTCTCTGCCATTTCTTCCATCTGACCTAATCAGATCCCTCACAGCATTAGTGGAGATACAGCTGAAGGCACAATGCCCTAGGAAAAAACTAAGGACATCAAATTTTTCCTTTGTCATGGTTCTACAAAATGCACTGCCTTACACTAGTACTGTACAGCCAGCCATTCTGGCAATTAACTATCCCTTATGGCTCCATGTTATCTTCCTACAACACTGACCATGTCACTTCCTTCTGCAGAATGAAGGCCTCTGCAGACTGTGGCCAATTTACAGAGGAAAGTTCAAATACGTAAAAATGATACGAGAATGCCTGTCAGAGTCTGAACCTACCCCCCCACCTACTCTTTCCAGCCCTCTCTCTCTTATCTTTCTACACCAGAGGCATGCAGAGTCAGTCTCTATGCAGGCTGTGATCTTTCAGGCCTCCACACCTCTGCACAAACTGCTGTTAGCAACATCCCTTTCCTCTCTCTAACTAGAGAAATTAAGGTTATTTCTTAAGACCCCAAGAAAATGATTTCTCCTCAGCAAAAGCTCCACTAATCTTCCAAGTGGCCCTGGTTGCCCTCCTCTCTGCTTCTACATTTTGCATGCATTTTTGTAGCATTAAAATAACTAATTGTAGTTATTCAAACTTTGCAAGGGGAATCCGTAAACATTTTTTTCCCTTATCCAAGCCCTCTAAAATCACCCATTTTTCTGCCTAGTGTAAAGCAAGGCTTCAATGAAATGTCTGTTAATAGTCAATGTTGCACAACACAAACCACACAGTGAAAATGATGCAATTATTCCATACCAGTTTATTTTAGATATTGTGCTTCAAAAACTTTATCATAAATAACCTTTCATATCATAAAATAACTTAGTCCGATTTATAATAAAATTTCTGAGAATTTAACATCTCATCAAAATACATTAACCTGTAGCTTTAAAATACAATTAATCCTTTTCACTTTCCTTTTACTTGAGGGCATAAAGATCAAAAAACAAACAAACAAAAAAACCAAAAAACAAATACAAAAAAAAAACAAACTATTGCTACACATTTAAGGTTTCAACAAAGCAATATTTGGCTTATTTAATGTAACTCAGCCATCCTAAATCAACAGTTTTCTTTCTTGCACAGTTCTTTGTAGTTTTTGTCCCTTTTGACTTAGATTTCTGTTTCAACACAGCTTCCTTCTTTATTTTCACCTCTGTCCATCTGCAAAGTCATCTCCTAGCCCCCATGTAGTTGAACTCACTCAGCCCCTTGACATCAGTTTCTGTAATCCTTGCATCAGCGTAGGGAGTAACTGCTTGAGTAACTACAAAGGTATTTCAAAACTTCAGTGCAATTTGGTTCAGTTATTTCCATTGAGATGCCATCACCGTTCGGGGAGATTAATCACTGGAACCCACTGATCCATGTAGCGACTTTCCCGACAAAAGCAAATAAGTTGACTTAAGGCAGGATCCTTCCACTGTGATGAATGTGGGTTCTAAGAACAAATTTAGAAAAATTACTTTTCCATAAAATCATCAGCTTATGCTACTAATTGTACTACTTTTGAAAGGGCCAAAACCTGAGCATTCTGTTAAGTAGCATTTGGCAAGATCTAAACACCTGTAATGCACACTGGGCCACAGAGTTTTGCATAATTATCTGTACCATTCTGCATGAGGTTATCATTCATAAGTTGAACCTATCAAGCATGCACCCTAGTAGGGTCATAAGTAAAATAGCTCTGAAAACATTCTCGCACACCATGTGAAAGCTGCAGGGCAGGCAGCTTAGCTTCACTCTTATCTTCCCTGGTGATGAATGGCACTTTTCACTGGCAGCAAAAGTAATCAGGGTGCCACTTGCCTACACCAGTCAAGGCAGAGAAAGGACAAAAACAAAAAAACAGAAGACCAAGACAGCACATTTCTCTCTGAAAACATTATTCAACCAGAAATTTTTAAAGGGCGTGTGTTTGTGTGTGTGTGTGCGTGGGGGGGGGGCTCATCTAAACAAATACAAAGGTTCAGAGAAAAGAATTCCACTCTGTACACACCAGAGTATCTCCAGCGAATTAATAAGGTCTGTCTCCTACTCTATTTCTATATTTAGCTTTGAGAGCAAATGAAGAATGAAGCTGACTTCTTAATGAAGGGTGAGCCGGGAATTTATTTGGCTTTATCTAATCTGTCCTGCTCTGAGAATTAGTCACGCGAGGTAGTGCAGAGGTAGGCAGAGGTAGCTGGGCAGCCTGCTGACTCACAGGGCTATCTTCCGCCGCTGGAGGCCACCCACGAGCTTAGACACGCCTGGTACCATCAGAACCCCCGCGAGATCAGCGTCTAGCACTGCCGAGGTCTATCCCAACAGATTCCGGGCTGCAGCCCCGGGTCCCTTACCGTCACCAGCACGCAGTGCAGGTCAGGGGGCTGCGAGGCACCCCC